AGATCCTCATCTGGTGTAAACTGAAGTGACACCAGTGACTTCAGTGGAATCAAGCCTATTTATATCAGCTGAGAATTTAACCCATAGGTTTTTAGTCTTTGTGAATTCAAGAATTTCCCAATCTTGATGTTTTTGGAGAGTAGCTGGTATATGGCACTGATAGTCAAATTGCGAGCTAAGCCTTCTTGCAGACCTCCTTTTTGGAAGACTTATTTGTATTTTTTTGACTGCTTTGTTTTTGCAATCCTGACAGTTGCATTGTAGATTCTGTGTCATGCACACTGTCAGAAAGGGCACCTGGATAAAGAGGAGCAATACAGCAGTGGCAAAGCTGAAGTTACTAATATGTATTTACTTATCCTTTGTACCTACTCTATATAATTCCACATGTTCATTGCATTTCCTTTATACGGAACCCCCATGATCTCTGACAAATCCACGGCTGAGCTTTCAGAAAGCTTGACGACTTCTCAACAGGAACCATTTGTATACAAACATCAGGATATCTTTGTATATGATCCTGCATTCCTTGCAAACAAACTCACAATCGAGTGAATAGGATCTGGGGTGGGGACAAGGAGGAAAGTAGGATATTGGGCCTTTACAGTATTTCAGTATGACACAATAAACCAGTAATTACTGGGTACAGCTGAGCATAGGAACCATTTGTGGTTCCCTGATTATGGGGCTGGTTTTCTATGGTTGCTCCTCCCTCTATTCATTACTCTAAATTATACCAGCCAGTAATGGCTCCTGGGGAGCATTACACTGTCCGGAGATTGCCATAGCAATCCACCAAAACTACAAAAGGAACATGGGGCAATATAGAATGGGGCAAGATCCCCCATGCACCCACAACTTATTTTGAGTTAGGTCCAATACATTTTGGGTAATCATAGCACTCATTTGAATTCTGACATCCAGTAACATGTTGTTTGGAGTAATGGAAAAAGTGTGAAGGCGTGATTCTCCATTGCCTCGTACTTTCTACCTGTGCAAACTGGTTGTGAACCACAGTCGCTGGCGTCTAATTTTCCCTGGGGGTGCTCAATCCCACTCCACACCTTACCCGAAACCCCCAATCCCACCCCCACACCATCCCTGCCACTGCCCCCCCACTCCACCTCTACCTCCAAGACCCCACCCTCACCTTGCCTCTTCCCGCCTCCGCTCCACCGCCACCCCGTCTCTTCCCTGTCTCTTTCCGCCCCCTCGTTTGAGTGTGCCCCATCCCTGCTCCTCCCCGTCCTTCCCAAGACCTCCTGCATGCCACGGAATAGCTATTCTGCATTGTTCAGGAGGTGCTGGGAGGAGGGGGAGGAGTTGATCAGCAGGGCCACTGGTGGGTGGGAATGGGGGAGAGGGAGCGGAGCTTGGCTGCTGGTGGGTGCTAAGCACCCGCTAATTTTCTCCAGGGATGGAGAACCCACGGAGTCAGCACCTATGCTGTGAACAATCTCTTCTAAAACAGAATGATAGTGTGTTACACTGTTTTACACTTGCATAGATTAAATGATTACAAAAGGTGCAAGACCACAGTGAATCAGATCTTCCGAACTGTAATTTTGATGACACTGAACCTAGAGACCTAAGGTTTGAGCCTGCAATCTTAATATAAGCAAATACAAATTTGCATGTATAAAAAACTGGAAAAAATAACTAATTGATGTATTATTTTTGTGACAGTTTCCATCAGGACCTCACCATGGCACATGGTTTGAGTGAATTGTCATCCTCTGTTTTGAAACTGTTAATATTCTTTCCAGTAGGGGAAAGGTGTGACTTGAAAGTGGTACCAGTATTGCCATCCCCACCTGTCCAAAAATCATGTGTCAAGCCACACAAAAAAACGAGGGGGTTTTGTTTGTTTGTTTGTTTGTTTGTTTGTTTGTTGTGATTTTTTTTTTTTAGTTCTGAGATTTTTAAAAAGTAAAATACATTTTGGGTTTTTTTTTCTTTGTCTTCTGTTTTCTCAGCCTTTGGGGTACACTCAACTCATATTTTTCAAGTTTTTTTCCACAACCATGAGGGCTAAAAGCTTACTTTTTAAATGAAATCTGAGAGTCTCATGTCATTGTAATCTGTTGACTCCGGGTGATGGAGCTTTAAGTAAATCAACAAATATAACGAGCCTCAAGATAAAATCACAGGAGTCGTCAAAACTGTGGTACTGGCTGTTATTGAAGATTTTATTGTTTTACATGTACATGTTGCTATGCATTTGGTAGAGAAGGCCAGGTCAAAGAAGTGTCTTATACTTGGAGCAGAAGGTGGTGAGGTTTGTGATGGTCCTTAGTTCCTGTGAGAGTTCATTCTACAATGTGGGACTGGCCCCTAAGGAAGATCTGTCATATGCACCAATGTGACCCTTTACCCTTTTTGTTGAATGTTCCATTGTACCCCAGGAGCAAAGTTATTAAGCCTGATCTTCATCCAGAAGCTTTAAAGGATCTTTTAGATATTGGTAGGGCAAGACCCTTGAGCACCTTGAGGATAAAGATTAAGATCTTGAACTTGAATCAATATCCTATGGGAAGCCACTGTAGAGAGTGGAGAACAGGCTGTATGTGCTTGTGGTAGCCAATGTTAATAAGGAGATGAATTTCAGCATTCTGTACTAGTCAGAGTTTCCTAAGGGCTAATGGCTTCATGCCCAGGTATATTGTATTGCTATACTCCAGACAGGAGATGATAAAGCCATGTATAACTGGGGCTAGGTCATCGTCTGCCAGGATGGGACAATGTCTCCTAACCAACTAGAAGGAATTGACTGACTGACTTGACAGTTGTGGGTGTTCACCTTCAACAAGGAGACTGCACCATTGTTGAAAACTCTTCATCATGCTTTCTTCTGCCCACCAGCATCACCTCTGTCTTGCTCTGATTCAGCTTCAACTAGCTGCTCTTCATCCACGAGTTGATCTCGGCCAAGCATTGGGCCATCTTGATGGTAGTGGTTTGGTTATGCATGAAGGATAGGCAGAGCTGTGTGTCATCTGCGTATTGCTTGCACACAAGCCCATGTCATCTGATCAGTTTGCCTTGAGGCTACATATTGATATTGAACAGGACCAGAGAGAGAACTGATCCTTGTGGTCAACAAGGTAGAAAATAGCTTCCAAGCATTACTCAAAATCCACATAATGGATAAAATCCTGGCTCCTTGAACTCAGTGGCAAAACTCCCAATGATGTCAATGCAGCCAAGATTTCACCTAGTATTCTTAAGTGCTTTTGTATTTGCTAATATTGACATACCTAAGACAATTCCTGGTCATGGGATACTGCTGTGCTGCCTGAGATGTGGCAGGGATCTAGAGGAAATATCTAAAATGGTTTAAGTCCTTTCTGGAAGGATCCATCCAAAGGGTAATGATGGGAAAATGCCTGTCTGCCATTGATGCCCCTTACCCCGCTCCCCCACCACCTCTTACTTGTAGAGTCCCACAAGGATAAATTCTTTCTGTGGTCATATTCTGTATCTATCTATATGCATTCATTTTCTGGGATATTTCACACCTGAAGAGGCTGCTTCATAATGGTTATTCCACCTTTGAATGGAATAATGTTTTACTCTTGAATGGGCCTTCATTTAAGATGATCTCAAGACAGGTAGCATTTGGGGGTAAAAACACATTTTGCTAAGAATACTGTGAACTAAACATTTGTGCTTTGCAGACAAGATTAGTTCCTTGCAGATAATTCACAAGTACCCATGATCTTCCCAGAATATGTGTGAGCAGGATTTTGCCATTAAGACAAATCTGAAATCTTTAACCTGGGAGATCCTCATCCTTTCTTCATCTTTGGATTCTTAACATTCAAACTCCATGTATATTTTTCTGTTAGATTCCATTGAACGTTCAATGCAAAGCTATAAATGTTGTTTATTGTTATCCCGTGAAGTTGAGCAACATATTGATCACAATACCTTCTGTGTTTTATAGCCTATCAGCTTCGAGTGTGTCAACCTCCACCAACTATACCAAATGCTGACATTTTGACTGAGGATGATGAATTTGAAATAGGTAATGTCTGTAAAAGTATGAACACTAACGTATTTCAAGGAGAGTTCAGAAATACATTTACATTTTTAAAGAAAAATATTTAAAAAGTTTTTCTTCCTTCTTGTACTTCTTGAATCCTAGTTAAGTCTCACAGGCGATACTATTGAAGGACACAGGAACTGCTTCCCAAATACCTTTTTCTAAAATGTATTTATTTGCAATGTTCTAATAAAGTCATAAAGTCTTAAAATGAATTTAAATTATAAGCATTTTTAAAAAAATAGTTTAGTGTAAAGGGTTGCAAGACACTTTAAAGAAAGATAACTATCAAATGCTGTGTTTATTATGTACAGAGTATTGTGTATATAGATCTAAATGACTGCAACTTTTAAAAATAGAGTTAATATTAATATTTTTCCCAATTCTTTGGGTTTTTGATGTCGGTGTATTTTTTAAAAATAAATTGAAAGAGGTGCTTGAACTAAATTTCCATGAGTTAGGGGAAATAAACAGAATGGAGGAAACAGGACTGCCCAACTGGACATAGTTTTGGGGCTGCCTAGGTTTTTTGTTTTGTTTTGTTTTGTTTCTACTAGTTGTTTAATATATGTATGTATGTTTGTGAACCCACAGATACAGAAGTTTCTGTTTTGAGTCTGTCCATTTTGCCTGAATAATTAGTACCATTATCATTTAATTAATACTATGACAACTACCCAATAAATTATAGAGATTTAAAAGTCTACAAACATGTGGTCTGCACAGAAAGGTAACAAAAATCAAAAGTAACAAAAATCAAAGACATAATCATGCTAATACCATGATTAGAAACAGTGATAAATGTGGTACAGTGTGCAGCAGAATGCTTATTTACCACAACAGTTCCTCTGCCTAATCAAAGCTTTTCATTCCAATGGTCATATAGCACATTATATAGGGCAGTAAGTGTACTTCATTAACCAATACTCTTTTCAAAACTAAAAATTGATGTTTAACCGTTCTCTTCTTTTTATCAAATAGGGGACATAATAAGGTACCAGTGTCATCCAGGCTTTACATTGGTTGGTAATGAAATTCTAACATGTAGATTGGGAGAAAGACTTCAGATGGATGGAGTGCCACCTTCTTGTCAAGGTTTTCTATTCTTATTAGTATTATGTATTGCTTTTATAATGTACCAGCTGAGTGGTGTTTGCAGAACTAAGCTTTGCTTTTAATTGACATATGGAGTCATACTTAAAATCTTTCCAACCCTCCCTCTGTATTTCCAGTGTTCCCAGGATGGTGAATACCTTAGAGCGTACTGTAATGAGTTTATTATTAACAATCTATGATATTTAATGAGTTTTTAGTGCTACCACTATGCAGTGCAAACTTTCAGTTACATTGTGTGAGGGTAAATTGCTTATTTCACAATTCATGCTCTAAGGTGGAAGGGGGCAGGCTAAATCAAATAAATACAAATGCACTTGTATCTCAATATTTTTTAAAGTATGTAACAATATCAAAAATTATTAGGTTGATTTAAATAAATTATACAAATAACATAGTGGTAATGAATAACACCATAAAATGTCATTGTTTTAAGTGAAACAGTCATGTAAGGAGTTTGTTTTGAATTTTATTTTGTTTTACAGCATGTTGGAGTGTATTTGGTTTCACTGCAGTGTGTAAATATCATGGAGAGTCACATCATCGCTCCATTGTTAAGTTAAAGCTAGATTGTAAACCTGACAACCATTAATTTATCCTAAATTAAGCCAATCTTTCTTATCTTTGACATACATGATGTTATTCTAAGGTAGAATATTTTGGTGACATTTGAAGGTAATTTGAGATGGCTTTTGTGGGATTTAAAAGGTTATACAAATGAGTACTTCTCCACCTTTTGTATAGTTTCCTCTAGGGTTTTGTTTTTTTCTTGTCAGTCAGGGGTATTTGGATGGGAAGGAGTTTGCTCGTCAAATATGAATAAGTGGGAACCCCACTGTAACTGCTTTGGATTGAAGACTGGTGTCTTTGAGTAGTTTTGAATGAATACTAATTTAGGTCAGATTGTGGCTGGCCCCTATGGGCTATGTGGGAGAATAAGTGTCCAGAAACCATGAAATGGACATGATATGAGAAGATGAATAGAAAAGAATAGGTTAATCCCAAAGAGCCTTCACTCTACACTTGCAAGGCTTACAAAAGGAGAAGACACAGCAGAAGTGCTTGCACTCAGAGAAAAGCACCATTGACTTACATTGACCATGAGTGAACCATCCTAGAGAATATTTCATACAGTGCACATGACTTCTCTGGAAGAAACATAATTCCTTATCAAATTCCATAAAATGGTTCAAAAATCCTACAGACATGTTTCTAGTACATTGTATAGGACTTATCTATAAGGAGTGGAGTACTGGCCTCTACAATATCTTAAGCATAGACCTTCTTCTCAGAATCCATGAGGTGGGGATGTACCCCAGTATGGTTATTCTGCCCTCTGCATCCTTGCCCAGTCCCAACAAGGGGCTTATGTGGGGCCCTGCAGTAGGGTGATTTCCAGGGCCGGATTTACACCTTACGTGCCCCTAGGCAAAGCATCTTCAGCACCTCCCTCCTCCCCTCCCCCCCGCCTACAGCTGACCTTCATGTTTTCCGTAAAAATGAAACTTTTAACCCACTTTTAACTTTTAGGCATCTCTAGAATGCCGACGCCCCTAGGCATGTGCCTACTGTGCCTAATTGGAAATCTGGCACTGGTGATTTCAACTCCTACAATCTTTCTCATTAATTTAATAATATTGGGTAAATATAATGTGGTTTATTGCTGTCTCATCAGTGCTTTAAGAGATGTGTTTAGCATCCCACACTAGCAAATATTTATGTGACAGTTTAGAGATAAAAAAGAATAACTGGCATCAGAAAATGGTGATTTATGGAAATGAGTTGGAAATATTTGGGAGCCTGATCCTGCAAGATGCTGAGCAGCTCCTGCATAGTCCCTCTACTTCAGTGGGAGTGGAGGGACCTCATTATCTAGCAGGATGTGTGAAGCATCTTGCCAGATCAGGCACATAAACACAACATTTATTTAAATTTGCATTAAATGGGGGACGTTACCATCTGGTTCTGCTTTACAGTTTTGCATTCTAACTTAGAAACAGATTTATATAATCTCTCTCCTTCTCATCAGATGTTTTGTTACCGAAGAAGCAATTTGAGTTAATTGGCATTTTTAGAAAACACTCCCAATCAAAGTATATTTTTGGAATAGTGGCAAGTTATGAATTGTGAATAAATCCACTGCTGCTAAATGTTAATGCTTTAATATGTGAAAGCTTCTTTGGTAATTCCAAAAGAGTTTCAGACTAAATGCACAATTTAGTTGTTAGACATACAATTGTTTAGATAATTAATGTTTACAACTCAGTGATAACTACAGTATTCATATTTCAGTTGCGAGTTGAAAAAGTCATACTTTTTTTTTCTTTTTTTACATTCTTAATTTAAAAGTAGAAGGGCCCATTCCTGCTCTTGAAAATATCATGCCCTCACATTTTTATACACTTGAAGAAATAAGAATCAATCTAATTTCCAAACATTTTCTTGGAAAATGTTGAGTACCCTCAACTCCTATGAACTTCAGTACGAAATGCAGATGCCCCGGGCATGCTTTCTGAAAAGGCCATTTATTTATGTGCCTATTGGTAAATATGGATTTGGCACCTAACCTAAGCCATCCTCTAAAAATTTCCTACCAAAGTCACATATACAGTCTTTGGAAGATCTCAGATAAAAACCTAGGACTCTTCACTTCATTACCCTGACTAATAAATATGCTGTCAAATATAAATACTAAATAATGTAATACGGTCTATTTTAGTCTACCTCCTGTTTTTAGCCTCAAGCAGAATCAGATAAACATAATCTCACCATTTATCAGCCTGAGAAAACACAAAAATTCAGAGGAATTAAAAAAACACTAGAATACCTATTCAGGTTGGCTGCTAGAACAACAGATAACTTACTTCTCTCATTTCTATTTTTTGTGTGGAAGTTATAAGATATACATCCCTGAGTATCAGATCTATTGGCAACTTCATATTTCCCCATCAGTTATCTCCTTTTTTATGGAACCTAAAAGCAGTATGGATAAGAGGTATAGTAACTCCTATTGCATGCAAGGATTATTTGCTATACTACACTGTTTGATTTATATACTATCATCATTTAATTATGCAGGATTTAATCACTATGTATGAGTCACCCTGAAGGAATAAACTTAATTTCTGTCACAACTGCTGCTGGTCCATGTTATACACCTGCACATGTGCAGAATTTATGTCACCTTGCAGATTTCTTTGCTTCCCCACAGAAAAATGACTTTATGATGGGGAACCAAAGGAAAGCCACAAGAGTGGTCATGTGACCCTCCCAAGTAGTATGTTTTGGATGCCCAGGGCTGCCAGCAGAGAAGTAAATCACTGTGGGGCAGGAGTGGAGAAGACCTGGCTGGTGGTTCCTAATTGATGGAGATATCCCATCTCATAGAGCTGGAAGGGACCCTGAAAGGTCATCAAGTCCAGTCCCCTGCCTTCACTAGCAGGATCAAGTACTGATTTTGCCCCAGATCCCTTAGGGGCCCCCTCAAGGATTGAACTCACAACCTTGGGTTTAGCAGGCTAATGCTCAAGCCACTGAGCTATCCCTCCTACCCTGTGCTGGGCTCAGCTGCTAGTCCCAGCCGGTCTGGGGAGTACGAGACTGCCTCTTTCCCTGCATGGCATGCGGAGCCATGTCAGACCCACCCCCAGATTTCTCCCTGGCTGTAGGAAGCTCTGCAAACTTCCTTCCCGCCACTCTTCCTGCACCCATCACAGCTCAGTTATAGGGGAGATATTATAGGGAGATACTCCTCCATCCACCAAACCCCCATGCATCCAGACCCCACTCATACCAGACCCTCCCACCGAGCTTCACCCCCCTGCACCCAGAACCCCCCATGATGAACCGCACTCCCCCTGGACCACCCCAATGAACCACCCGCATCCCCACACTACCAAGCCCCAACCAGCTGCATATGGATCCCCACCCCACTGAGCTCCCAGGATCTGGATTCCCCACTGATCGCCCCCAAACTCAGACCCCCTGCTGAGCTCTATCCCCCCCCGCACTGAGCCCCAACCACCTTCACCTGCCCTCCTGCATAGTCCCATTACCATTTAACTCAGAACCCCCCAACAAGCCCCTGTACATCCAAATTCCCCCCCACACACCTGAATCCCCCACTGAGCCACACACACCCAGACTGCTCGACACAGAACCCTCTCAACCCACACCTGAATCCCCCACACTAAGCCCCTTCACACTTGGATCCTGCCTTTCTGAGCCTGCCTGCCCACACCTGGTGCACCTGGCATGGAGGGGCAGGGCCCTGCGGTGTTTCTGGGACAGGCCTGGTCCTTGTGCTGTGTCCAGGGTTGGGTGCAGCCTCACCGCTGAGTCCATGTCCTGGGGGGAAGCTGCACATTGTTCTCCTGTGCTCCACAGTGCCATGCTGGAGCCTCCACTTTTATTTGACAAATAAAATTTGCAGAATTTTGCAGAATTTTAAAATATTGTGTGCAGAATTTTCAATTTCTTGGCGCAGAATGCCCTCAGGAGTAATGTTAGTTTCAAGTAAAATATATTGATTGAGAGCTACATAATTGCTTTTTACAAAGAAGAACATATGTTTTGTTATTAGACACTATGGTTCTGATTTTCATCTTGTGCAGATTTTTTAGCCAGTGCAATGTGTGTATAAAAGACTAATATTCTTACTTGGTTTCATTTTACATTCACTTTGCACTGATATCAATTCATACACATGATGCAGGATACTGGAGAAGCAGGCCCAACATTTAGTATTTTTAAAAATCTGTGTGGGTCACCTGAACATGTATTAGTTTTGGAAAAAATATTTTGGTTTTGCTTATAAGTTAGGGCTATCAAGCGATTAAGAAAATTAATCACAATTAATCGCGCTGTTAAACAATAATAGAATACTATTTATATAAATATTTTTGGATGTTTTCCACATTTTCAAAAATTACAACACAGAATACAAAGTGTACAATGCTCACTTTATATTTATCTTTATTATA